AAAGCCTGTCGAATGAGCTTTAGTTAAAACGTCCCTGCTGACATTTTAAAATATGGGACATGGAATACATGACACACTGCAGCATTTTTAATTACACCAGTTCCCAAGAGCCACTAATTAAAAAACCGCCCTGCCCCACCCCCCTTTACCCTGGAGCAAGCCTTCAATACATAACACTAGTGAGCAAAGAGACTGCTGAATGCCAAAGGGCACTGCTGGGACCAAACATTATATTCTGGTAATATTAAGTGCACAGATTTGGCTTTACAGAGACACAGTATACTGGAACTCTGTCAATCCCAACGTATGTGGTCAAAGGATGGCAAAAAAAGATCAATACTGGTACCCAGGATCCTTGTAGGGAACTTCATCTCCTACACACATTAATCCTACACCAAAGCCTGGAACAGAATCCTAGTGCCCCTTTTTTCCTTTTGTTGGCACTGTTCAGCTACAAGCTCCCTTGCACTGCATGGTCAATAAAAACTGTCTTTCTAAAAACAAGCTGTGTCCTCACTCCCTATCTGACTGCAGCCTCCCCAACCCATGGAGCCTCCCCACAGCCTCTGAGAACCCAAAAGCCTGGTTGCAAACACTGCTTCCCCTCCCCCAGCCACACCAAGTCAGGCAAGCACTCCCCAGACATTGGTCAGCTGCAGGCTACGGACATTCACTGAACTCACCTTCAGGAGAGAAGAGAAGGCAGAAAAGTGGAAATGCTCCCAGCCACAGATCACCCACACCCTTGAGACCCCCAAAGCATGGGTGCAAGCATCCCCTCCTACTCGTCCACTGAGAGGTATGCTGGGCTGGGTGCTCACTACCACCCCCAGCATGGGAGCCGCAGCATTTCACACAATTATGAACCAGTTCCCAAAGAGTGACATGTATATTGTTCTCCAGCCAGTTGTGCACTCACCTTACAGGAGTTTCATCTACATTATATTTTACTAGGTTCGCTAGGTTCCTTATGCAAATGTCAAGTGAAATTGTATCAAAGCATCACTAAAGTCAAGATCTCAGACCCACTGCTTCTCCCCTGTCCACAAGAACCATTACCCTGTCATAGAAGTCTTCTTCTTCTTCAGCTATCCCTTGATATGAGGATAACGTCTGCCGGGGGCGTGGGGGAAGGATTATTAGTGAGTTTTAAGATGGCTGAGGAGTCCAATCCATGCTCTGCAAGTTTTTCCACAGATATGACAGGTAGTGCCTTGGGGGCAGGAGCACAGCTGCTGGCCAGGATGTTGTGCATTTTCCTCCCTCCTCTGCCATTTCTTGGCTTCCTGAGCAAGATGGGTCTCTGCGAAGTGGGTTGTAGCTTGATGCATGATGAAGCACCATCGAGACCTGTTACCAGCCAGCATTTCCCAGTTTGAAAGACTGATGCCACCCTCCTTATGGTATGCTTTCAGGGTGTCCCTGTGGTGTTTTCTCTGTTCTCTGTGGGTCCTCTTACCATGGACTGAGTTGAGAGAAGAGGACTTGCTTTGGGAAATGAGCATCAGCCATGTACACACAATGGCCAGCCCAGCAGAGTTGATGTTTCATGATATTTGGCCTCAATGCTGGTTACGTTGCCTGTAAAAAGGATGCTGGCATTGCTGCAGTGGTCTTCCCATGTAATGCAAAGGATCTTCCTGAGGCAACACTGATGGAATGACTCCAGGCGCTTAAGATGGCTTCAATATGTCACCCACATCTCACACCCATAGAGGAGTGTGGGAATAAGAACAGCACCGTAGAGCAGGACATTAGTTTCCATCTGCAGAACTCAATTGGCAAAGACACAACGAAGCAGCTTTCTGAAAGATAAGTGAATCCTATGTTCGATTTCTACATCAAGACTGACTGACTGGGAAAGGTGGCTGCCAAGGTATGGAAAATGCTCAACATTTTCCAGGGGTTCTCCACCAACGGGAATTTGTGGGGGGAGGGGAGTAGCTTGTGCTGGGGCACCTTGGTCTTCCCAATATTAAAGGGAGAGTCCCAGGCTGTGATAGGCACCTGAAAAAAGGGCAAGGGTAGACTGCAGCTCGGTCTCAGTTTGCCCGAGGATAACACCGTTGTCAGTGATGCCCCGTCTTGGCAACTTTCGTTTTGCTGTGAAGGCACCACAGGTTGAAAAGCTGACTGTCCATTCAATACTCAACCCCAATTGTGGGAGGAAGGCGGTCACAGATGAGGGTCAAAAGCACAGTAAAACAGATGGAAAAATGGGTTGGGGCAATGATGCAGCCCTGCTTGACACCAGTATAGATGGTAAGCAGGTCTGTCTCTGACTCATTGCAAAGGACTGTCACGGTCATCCCGTCATGAAGTAGCCCAAGGACACTGATGAACTTCAGTGGACAACCAAACCTAGCCAGCCCCTCCCATTAGGCTTCATGACTGATGGTGCTGAAAGCCTTGGTTAGGTTAATGAATGCCATAAACGGCTCCTGGTGTTGCTCTCTACACTTCTCCTGGGTCTGTCATGCAACATAAATCATGTTGGTGGTACCCTGAGATGGTCTAAAGCCACACTGGGATTCTGGGAGGACATCTGCAGCAAGGGGGAGGAGGCAACCCAAGAAGATGCGAGTAACAACCTTCCTGGCAACGGAGAGGAGGGCAGTGTCTCGATAGTTCCCACACACGGACTTGTCCCCTTTCTTGAAGAAGGGGACAAAAGTAGACTAGGTTTCTTTGACATGATTTGTTCTTGATAAATTCATGTCAGCTGCTGCTTATCACTTTTATTATCTTCTATGTACTTACAAATTGACTAGTTGGTTATTTATTCCAGCATGGTTCCAAGGAACTGAAGTCAGACAGGCTTGTGTATAGTTCACTGGGTCCTCCTTTTTTAAAGGACAGGCATTATGCTTCTCTTTTCCAGGCTTCCTGAACATAACTTATCATCCATGAGTTCTCACAGAATCATTAATAGCTCTGAGACTGCTTCAGGCAGTTTTCTAGGATGAAGTTTTCAAAGCAGTTGGACCCAATGAACATTTAAGAAGTCTCAAACCTATTCCTTCCCTGTTCTAGCTTTAATTCCTATTTCCTGGTTACCAGTGCTAATTACGTTAGCCATCTGATCACAGGACCGAAGCAAAAAGGGGCACTGAAGACTTTAGCATTATCAGCATAATCCAATTAGTTTTCTATCCTCACTGAGTGGTGGACCAACTCTTTCCCTGGGCTTCCTTCAAATACAAATGTACTTACAGAATGTTTCCGTGTTCCACTTCTTTCACTCATTATTTGCATCTCATTTTGTGCCTTGGCGTTTCTACTTGTGTTCTTACCTACTCATACTTTTCCTTTAAATTCAGCTTTAGTAATTGGAGCTAGTTTGCACAGGTTACATAATTCCTCATTGAGCTCAGGTCACTTCAGAGGCCACAGTGTAGCAAACAATGTTGCTGCACAGACAGACAGGTTTAAAAGTAACAAGAAGAAGTCGTTTTTATGCAGCATGTCATTAACTCATGGAACTCATTACCACAGGGGGTGTAGAAGCGGAGTATAGCCAGGTCCAAAAAGGGACTAGATAAGTTCATGGATGATAGATCCGCTAATGGCCATTAAACAAAACAGTCAGGGATGGATCTCTAAACCAATGACGGCGGATGCCAGGAAGAGTACGACGGAGGACAGATCACTCTATATAAACCCTGTTCATACGAAGGGGAGGCATACCACAAATTAGCTTTGTGCCCTCCCTGAATGCCACTCCAATTCCCTTCCCCTGCCCCAGCTCCTGCTCTGCTTTTGACTCCCTGCCCTGTACTCACCGCCTAATCTGCTGCTCTGCTCTCTGCTCTACCTGCTGCCATGTTGCCTGACCTCTCCCCAGCCTGCCGCATGCCACACACAGGCTGCCCGTATCACTTGTGGTACATGGGAAGCATCAGCGGCTGCCACTGTCAGAGACACGACACTAGGCTAGGTGGACCCCTGGTGCGAGCAGTCTGGCACTTGCATTCTCTTACTGCATTTCCTATCCTGTCTTCACCCTGTGATACTGAGGGCACAAGCATGAACTGCTGTTTCTTTAAGAAACTGGGAGTTCTCCTGAATTCCCTTCACCCTTAGACTTTGTGTCCCATTGGATCTTGTCTATCAACTCTGTGTTACCAAAGTCTGTTTTCCTGAAGTCCATTTCCTTTATTCTGTTTTCCTTCCTTTCTTGCCTAAGAATCACCTAAGTTGTCTTCCATCTTCCCATCTCAAGCTGTTTCTGGGCAGAATCAAATCTAGAAGTGTTGCCCTTCTGGTTGCTTTGTCCTTCTTCCACATGACAAAAATGGTCTCTGTATCTTTATCTTTGTGTGCTTTGGTGTTTTTGCCAGTGCGGGAGCTCTTGGGTGTCAGAGAGGTTACCAAGGGTCACTATGTGGAAGTGGCTTTCTTCAATCCCCATTGCTTTGTCCACCCTCCATTTTAAAAAGTTATCCCTGGCACTTTCCAAGAACACGCTGGACAGTCTGTGTCCTGTGGTATTACTTTCCTAGCAGATGTCTGGGTAAAGTCTCCCATTACCACCAAGCCCTGTGCCTTGGATCAGTCAGTGAGTTGCTCAAAAGAAAAAAAGCTGCATCCACCTGACCTTCATGGTTGGTGGTCTGCAGCAAATTCCTACCATGGCACTGCCTTTCTTTTCTCCCTTTCATTTACCCAGAGAATTTCATCAGGTCTCCCCCACTACATTCTGAAGCTCAGAGAAAACACATTCATTTTTGGTATAGAAGATAAAATCTCCTCCCTGCCTCTCCTTCCAGCTGTACCTTTCCATAGCAATATTCAAGTCACATGAATTATCCTGCCAGTCTCTCTCATGCCAAATCAGTCATCATTTTGATTAAGCATTTGACTTTCAGTTCTGCTTGTTTATTCCTTATACTTCTTGCGTTAGCAATTGGCAGCTATTTAATCTTCGGTAGCTCAGTAAACTATTTATGCAATTCGCACACTTTTGCCCCTTTCGCACCCCGACCTGAAAAAGCACCTACTGGGAATGGCTGGGCCCGCAGCAGCCATGTGTTCTTTGGTTTCTTTCTGGGCTCTGTCTGTTCCTGGGTCTGCAGCAGGGTGTGATGGGTTGGACGGCGGAAGCACGAGAGTCACACTTTTTCTCTCTCTCCTTCCTGTTTAACAAGGAAAGCTGTCCCTCAGTTGGGCAGACACCAGGCTTGACGTTTTATTATATGGCGCAGTTCAGAGCAGGCTAGAATTTGCAGCACAATAAATCCAAGGTGCTTAACACAAAGGCAATTTAGCACATGAATCTCTTGGGTATTTCTGAGCCTCTCTCCCCAAAGAGTGAGTTGCTTCATAAGGATAGAGAAACAGGATTTTTGAAGCAGATGGGTTTAGAAAAAGGATATGTATTATTGTGCTCTTCAGAACTGCAGGCACCTCTGAGAGGTAGCATGTCAGGGTCGGGAACCAGCTTCCAAAGACCAGGTCCAGACAGCTGGTCTGCTTATATTAACCTTGTTCACTGGTCCCAACAGCAGGATTTTCAAACAGCCAGATCAGTTGAATTTGGGTTTGGTTTTTTTTCCAAATCAAATTCTTAATTATGTTTTCGCTCAGATTGTAATATATCATTCTACTGATAAAAGCATAACTCAGTATTTATGAGCAACTTTTCAGGCTTCTAGAAAGATACCCCTAGTGTGAAGTTAGCCAGAAGCCTATCTATACTTTAAAATGAGTAAGCAGCTAAACAAAGATTAGAAAATGTCATTTAGTTAGTAAAATTTAAAAGCCTCACTCTGGACCAGATTCTGGTATTAATTACATCACTGTGGTCCAGCCCAGCTCCACTGGAGCCTGAAGTTATTTCAGATTCATACAGCTGTTATGGAAATCAAATTCTGCAGCCTGAATTTGCCCAGAGATTTCATATACTTCAAGCCTTTTTCATTCCCTCCCACTCAAGAGAATTACAGACACTTCATTCAGCAGGAGACAAAGCTCTGGAAGTTAGTTAGGAAGAATAGGGTTAGAAGACGAACGCCCCCTCCCCCCCCATTTTACCAAAACCTGGGTGCCATTTCCATTCTGTGCTTGGCACCAGGCACCATGAGCTGTCACTGAATCAGATCATGCGCTCTTGACAGATCAGTTCAGTAAAACATTCTAGAGAGTGAAGCAAGGACAGCAGAAAGCAATTAGGGCTTATAAAGGAGCTAAGTGCTACTAAGGCTGGGGTTAGTAAATCAGAGTTCTCTACAAGCTTCGCTGTTAAGAGACAGGCAGCAGGCTCTCTCATTATCGTGCAGGCAGAAGATAGGTGCCATGTTGGAAGGCAGCAAACTATTCCTACCCACCTGAGAGGAAAGACTAATAAGCAAGAGAGATCTAGGAGCAGCTTCCGTTTTTGAAAGGGAAAGATAAATAGGTCAGGTTTTTAAAAGGTAAAATAAAAAGGGACTTACATTTTAGGCCCACTTCATGTCTATGTTTAAAACCAGTTTTTACCCTTTCATTTTAGGAGCTAGGGCTGCAGGCCATTTTCCCCACGTCCATAGTTGTGCGTGTGCATTGAACTGCCTCATGTTGCAGTCACCGTAAAGAAGAACATCTGCTGCAGCACAGCGTGCTCTAGCTGCAGTCCCATGACGCGCTGGAGATCCACCGCTTTGGACCAGACTGGATTAATAGAGTCTGCTCCACATGCAAGCTGATGCAAATTCAGCTGCGCCACGTGCAGTTGTGTAAGTGGCGAAATGCACGTCAGCACGCAGAAAATGGCAGCAGTGCACTTTTGAACTGAAACACCTTCTATGTGTTTTAGTTCAAAAGCACACTACTGGCATCTTCTCAGCACTAACGCACATTTTCACCACTAGTACAACTGCAAGCGACACAGCGCCAAGTGCTTTTCAAAGCACCTGGCACTGCGGCACTTGCATGTGTAAAAATGCCCCTTGTGCTGCAGATGGCTGCTAGTCCCCTCCAGTGGTCCAAGCACCAAAGAACCTTGCAGTTTTGAAAGTTGGCTCAGTAGCACCAAAGGCCCTAACCAGATGTCAAGCAGGCACCCCTTGGGCTCATCATCAATCCCTTTTAGCAGCTGCCTAACTAAGGTGGAGTGCGTGGGGTACCAGCCCTGGGTGCTGACTCTGGGGGTAGGGGGTGCCCGTTGCCCTGGGAATCTTAGCTATGACAGGTGCAGCTCTGCCCTGCTGTAGGAGGGGCAGGTACAGCCCTGCACCCAGCAGCGTACCTGGGCAGAGGGGGGTGGAATGATACCAGTCCTGCCCTCACCCAGGCAACTGGGCCATTGGAGACACAGCGGGAAGTGGAGGGGGGAGAGAGCAGGCCCTCAGGACAGGAGCCCACACTAGTGCCTGTTTCTCAGTTGCAGCAGTACAAATCTGCACTGCTGAGGCGCAGCCACAGCAGAAGCAGCTGCCATCAAGTGGGGAGAGCCCACCCTGTAAGACTTCACTTTCCCCCATCACCACTGCTCTCCAGTGGTCAGCACCATGCCCTCTGCCCACTCCACTGGGCCCTGGGCACTGGAAGTGTCCCCTATGCCTCTGCCTTTTAGCCCACCCAGGAAAAGAGATGAGAGCCCTACCTGTGAAAGCATAAAATATTCCCTGCCTGCCTCCTTTCCTCATCCCCTTTCCTCCAGATAGCTGAGACTCTCCCCTAGAAGAGTGGAACAGCTGCCTTGGTGCCTTTCACATAAGAAAAGGGCCACAAGCTGAGTCCTTTCTGCTCAAGTCCCCTGCCTGGCCATGCGCTAGGAGGTCCCACGTTTCATTTTTATACACTATGACTCTTAATAGTCCCAATTCTTATCCCAAGGGGGTGCATTTATGCAGTTTGGCTAGATGGTTGATTTGCAAGCAGATCTGTTATCTGCCTCCCAACATGGCTACCAAGCCCAATTACAAAGAAGCCTTTTAAGGAGGGAGATAGAGAGGAAGGAAGGGGATGTTGTACCTGAGCCTATTGTATGTCCAACGGAGTCAAAGGAAAGAACCATTGAATCTGTAACACAAGAGTACAAGTTCATTTTCCCCTTTTAAATCAATCCATTATTAGCACATAAAAGGCTTCTCTTTCCTCTTCCCATTTTATCATATAGCAGCAGCGAGCTCCAGACATTACCATCACTTTTTACTGAGCTGTACATGCACATGAATGATCTCTTATTGTCAGAGAATGCTGGGTTATATCGGTGCGGGACCTGTGCCCCACCTATGGCAGCAAAGGCAAGACTAGAAAAATCTTGCACCTGTCTCCCAAAGCAGTCACTCAGAGCAATACCTACAACACCATTACACAGCAAAGGAATTACAAAATATGTTTCTTGAATTTTACCATTCATTTTGCTATTGTTTCACCAGAAGGAAAATTCAGCTCTTTGCCACCCAGACATGCTGAATAAGGTGAATAGGGATCCAGCAAAAGCAGGGTGTTGCAATATCCTGGATACTTCAGAAGGCGATTAACATGCATGAGCATCAGCAAATTGTAGCCCCCTCTAGAATCCAGAATGATACAGACAAAGAACTGTTAAGTGATGTCAAATGATTGGGGCATGTTTGAGACATAAGATTTCAGAATGAAATCTGTTCATGTCTGCCCTGCACATTAGCCTTGCAAAGGATGCATTAAAAATTAGCTCTTTCCCTAATTACCTTTCATAGGCAAACCCGAAAGAGGCCATTTTGATCATTTCATCTGCCTGCCTACATGAGGTAGTCTATATAGCATGTCTTGGAATTGCTCGCTACTTCAAATAAGAATTGTACTCTAGCACAGTGTTTTTCAATCTACAGTCTGCAGACCCCTGGGGGTCTGCACACTCTAAGGGGTCTGCAAAAGATGACTATAGTAAATCAAAAGTATGTGAATAGCCACACTTATAATTAAAAGGGGTCCACACCTCCATTTTAAATATTTTAGGGGTCCACAAATAAAAAAAAAATTGAAAACCACTCCTGTAGAGAAATAATCAATCAGTCTAGATCAGGAGTTGGCAACATATGGCCTGTGGGCCAGCCCCTGTGGGCCAGCCCCAGCCCATGTGGATGAAACGTGGGGTTTCAGCCACATCTGGCAATATGCAATGGCAGGGGGCTTCAGCTGAAGGCACTCTCCTCATACCACTGTGGAAACAAGCAGCAGTGGCAGCCAGATCCTAGCGTGTGCCCACCTCTGACCTGCGGCGGGTCATTCTGGCCTGCAGCCAAGAAAGGCTGTCTACGCCTGATCTAGATTGACAAAGAAAAAAGTTGATTTCATGGTTCATTCTGCTCAGTGTGAAAAAGCTGCAATTTCTTTCTAGCCTCCTTAGCTTGTGAGGCTTCACCTTCCAGCCGTTCGAATTTGCTGCACCTGTTTGCTAGATTGAAACACCCACTGTTATCAATTTTTTGCTCCCCACATAGGTTTTTTTATAGGTTGCAAGCAAGTTGCCTGTTAACCTTCTTTTTAACAAGCTGATTATGTTGAGCTTCTCCAGGCTCTCACTAGACAGCAAATTTCCAAATGTTTAGTTATTTTTGTGACCCTTCTCTGGAGCGTTTCCAATTTTTCAATAACACTTTGTAAATGCTGCCATCAGGATGGAAAGCACCACTCCAGGAGTGACTGTACCAGTGCCAAATGCAGAAGGAACAGAGCCCCCCTGCTCCTGCGACACTGTCCCCTGTTTAAGCGCTGAGAAATCACTCAAGCTCTTTTGGTTACAGCGCCCAAATAGGAGCTTGTACTCAGCTGACTGGCTGTGGTGACCCCAGAAGACCTTTCCAGAGTCTCTGTTCCCCAAGAAGGTTTCTCATTTCTGTTCTTGATTCTGAACTGTCTGACTTTATATTTGGCCACAAAGACACATGTACGTTGCTTACTTCTGCCCAGCTTGGCAGGTGACCCAGATCTTTATTAGAGACCGGCTCCTTCATTATATACCAATCTCTGCGCCATCTGCAAAGTTCATTACAATGACCTTATATTTCCCTTATCTTCAAAATGTTAAAATGCATGGGGCCAAAAACCAACCCCTGCAAGACTCCATTAGAAACACAACTGCTCAGTAATGATTCCGTTTACAGTTACATTTTAAGACCTCAGTTAACCAGTGGTCAATATCATTAATGCATGCCATGTTGATTTTCCATTCTCATTACTTTAGCAAAATACCTTGTGGTACCAACCCAAGGCCTTATAGCGTGCAAGCATGTCCCCGGTGCTTCAAGAGTTGTTAAAAATAAATGTTCAGGCTGCGTCTAGACATGCGTAGACGTTTGGTTCCCCAGGGACAACAAGCGGCAGCACACCATTTGCCACTGCTGGTTGTCTCTGGGGAACACCTGTACCATCCGCACTCTGGTGCGCGGAAAGTTACCCCAGGTGAGGTAGGGGAGGCTGGGGCCAGTACCAGCCTGGACCCAGCAGCCTTACCTGGGGTCCTCCTGGAGCTGCAGCTGCAGCACGGAGCCTGGCCAGCAGCTGAGTGTGGCTCTGAACAGCCAGGCTCCGGCTCTGGGTGGCACATACTGCCTCTGCTTGCACTGCTCCGCTTTTTTTTCCCCCCACCGGTTTTTTTGACTCCATGATATTCAGAGATAAAAAAAACCCTCTGCGCTGCTTCCTTGCAGCACGGAGAACAACGAAGGTGCAGTATGTGGCACCACATACAACACAGCCGCGCTCATTTGGACGTGGCCTTATGGTCCAGAGAACTGCCCGACCAGTTCTTCCAAAACTCTTGCATACAAGGTATCCAGATCTGCTGATTTAAAAATATCTACCTGCTGTAGCAGCTGCTGCTTAACATCCTCCTGAGTTACTGCTGGAATGGAAAGTTTCATTGTCATCTGTTATGAATACATCTTCTTCCCCAAATAAAGAAAGGAAACATTTATTGAACATTTCTGCTTTTCCTGCCTCAAAACTGACAGTGCTATCAATGCCATTATTTGGATTTCTTTTGTTCCCAGATAGTTAAATTCTCCCTTACTCTCCTTAGCTCTCTTTATGCACACAATTAATGTTTCTAATCAAATATCTCTTCATTGGATCTG